GTGCCTCCCGCGGTCCCGGCGGCCGCCCTCCGTCACACCCCTCCCTTCAAAACTCCCTCGGAGCGGGAAAGGGGTGGGTTTTGGGCGAGCCGTCGAGGCGGGAGCGCGCGGGGTGTTCAGTTGGGCCATTATCCCGACGCAGGACAGGTTGCGGCGCGGCCGGCCGAGAGCGGACACGGTGCCGGAGCTGATCAACGAAGGGGTGCACTCCTCCAGCAGCATCCGCTGCAATGTCTGCTACAGGGTCTTCCCGCGGGAGAAATCGCTGCAGGCCCACAAACGGACTCACACCGGTGAGTAAAGGCAAGGCGCAGCCGAAAAAAAAAAAAAAACACCCCTGAAACCCCCAGCGAACTCCACCTGCCACTATTCCATTGTCACTGTTAAATTAGTCAAACTTCCAAGGCTTTTTTTAGTCCGATCACAGTCTTTGTGACTGAGTTTGTTGTGGGGAGGCACATCTGCTGGTGTCTGTGGCTTACTGTGCAAGGGGCAGAACCTTTTTTGAGTTTGGTACTCTGTACGTGGTAGCTCTCTTTATTCTGCCTGCCTCGTTTCGTCTCTGTGATTTGTTTGCTTCTTGGTGGTGTACGTCTTACAGAGCAATTGAAGTTTAGCTGTAAGAGGAGACAGTAACTTAAAAACTGCGTGGTAACTAGTAGTGTAAAACACTAGAAGTCTAGCTTAAATGCTGAGGAAAAGAGTTCAAATGCTTAAAATCACCATCCAGTTGTCTCTCCTACAGCCTAGAATTCATTTTCTGGGATGGAGGTGGTCGCACTCGTTTACTGAACTGTATGTAGAAGGCAACTCACAATTAAAATGTAGGAACAACTCACTCAATACCCATCTGAACTGAATAGGAGATGCTGGTTTTTGGGTTTTTTTTTAAACCAAGCATTGTTGTTGGTTTTTTTTTGCTTTTCATGTTCCAACAGAACTCTGTATTTGCAGTGAAGTGTGACCTAAGGTAGCTCACAACACCAACACAACCACCAACACTCTCCCCCATACCTCCAAACCAAGCAAACAAAAGCCCAGAAGAATCCTGGCTCCCATGGTCTCTTTTTCTCACTCAAGTTGCTAACACTAATCTAGATGCTAATATTAAACAGCAGTTCCCTTGTGCTCTTTGGTCAGCAGAGGATTTTATTTCACTTGGTTGTTTTAGGTGTTGAACTGGTACTTACCTGAGCAGAGCTTACCTTGGTGTTATTCCTCTGACTTAGTAAGTCATCATTGCTGTGGTTTAGTTACCTTTCCTGAGGAGAGGTGGCATGGCATGTTTTCACGTAGTTGCATGCAGTCAGATCCTCTCGAGGGAGGAATACCTGCCACCCCTGTTCTTGTTGCAGCTGACACAGGGAAGTCTTCCTTGACTGGCCAAAGAAGACCTTCTTGGCTTAAGTCTGGAATAAGTTTCTCTTGCAACCTCCATTTATCCATTACAACTTTTCTCAAATACTCTTCCCTCGTAAAATATTTCTTCAGCTGTTTATGTTGCTATACTGTTGGCCTCAGTTATTTTACTGTAGTTCAGGCTACGTTAAGGATAAAATTTATCTGGTTGCAACTTGAATTACATTTCCATTTACTCATTTCACTTCGTATATTTCTTGCTCTGTAGGTGCATTGTTTCACGGGACAAAGCTTATGTAGTGGTGTGCAAGAGGCTTCCATCAGAAAATATGGCAAGGAAAAACATAATTGGGGTTTTGTTTGGTGTTTTTTTCCCCCCTCTGGAAATAACTGTATTACCCAGTAGCATTGATCATGTACTTCAGAAAAAAGATCTGTTTGGGGTAAAAGTGGATCTCTGCTATGCCAGGACTTTTTAAAGTGGGTAGGAGGAGAGCTGGCTTGTGTAAGTTTCAACCAAGGGACCACCACTGGATACTGTGACTCTTCTTGTATATTCAGTTTTCATAAATCTGTTCTGTTATTATTTTTAAGGTGAAAGGCCGTATTTGTGTGACTATCCAGACTGTGGGAAAGCCTTTGTTCAGAGTGGGCAGCTCAAAACTCACCAGCGTCTTCACACCGGGGAGAAACCTTTCGTCTGCTCAGAGAATGGTGAGCCCTCAGAGAACAATTTGGAGCTTTCAGAACTGGGGCCAGTCTAGTACTGGAAATGTATGCGTGTCCATGTGGCTAAGATCCACAAAAGCTTTGGATTTTAATTTTGGAGCAGCTTCTAAAGAAGGGACAAGCTGCACAGAACCTGCGTTAATCATGCAAATATGCGATCCTTAGATACATATGTTATTATGTAAGCAGGTTATCAGTAATTCTGTCAGTTGATACTAATGTATAAATGATGGGGCATGTTACGAGCCTTGCAAGCAGAACTTTTCAACCAAACGTAGGGTTCTGTGAGTGAGGAAGGTTGGATTCAGCAGCGTCTTCATCCCATAGGTGCTATTTACTTGTTGGTTGACTGCTTTCCATAACGTGTACTTCATTGTCACTTTGTGTTTTCTAAGGCTGTTTAAGCAGATTCACACACGCAAACCGTCATTGCCCCAAACATCCATATGCCCGACTGAAGAGGGAAGAGCTCACAGACATGCTGAGCAAGAAGCAGACGGCTGACAATAAAGCTGTGGCTGAGTGGCTAACAAAGTAAGTTTCATCATGGTGTCATCTTTCTCTTAAAAACTTGTAAGGGTGGTCTGAGAAAGCACTTTATTCTTAGGGGCAAAAAAAAAAACCCCAGCAAACCAAAGCCAGCTGTTCCTTAGCCCAGCTTTTCCTTTCCTTAAAGAAGCACAAACTCTTGGTCAGGACAAAGTTCCTCGTGAGACTTTTTCTTGTATCTTTTTGTTGTTGTTGTTCCGACCCTCTGCTTAAATGCTTCTCTTTGCTTGATCAACACATGCTAATACCTTGTTAGTTAGTGCTATAGTCTTGCTGAATTTGTTTCTGTCTGAGGGTGAACGATTGTGTATGCCTAGGAATGAAACGCCTGCAGGGAACGCCGTTTAGAGAATAAACCTGTCACAGATGTTCACTTGAAATACTGAATAAAGGAGGTTTTTGACAGCTTAAATACTACCATATAAGGGCTGAAAGATAAAGCCAAATGCAGTGCTTAGTCAGATGCAAGCTAGTACCCGGGAGGTTATTTGCCAGCTTCGAATGGTTGGCGTGCGAGTCAGTCGCCTGTATTTTGAAAGCATTCCCTCGTGTTTGATTTTGTAGATACTGGCAGACGAGAGAACAGCGCGCTCCCTCGCTGAAAACTAAAACCACCCAGAAAACGGATCAGGAACAGCAGGACCCGATGGAGTACCTGCAGTCTGACGAGGAGGATGGTGAAGAGAAGAGCAGTGCTCGCTCGGCGGCTCGGCGCAGCCGCCTGCAGGAGCAGCGCGAGCGCATGCACGGCGCCCTGGCGCTCATCGAGCTCGCCAACCTGGACGTGGCACCGCTTCGGCAGTAGAGCGGAGGAGAGTCTGCTAAATGTACTTCCTTGGGGGTATTTTAACCAGTTAGATCCTGGGCATAAGCTAAGCACCTTATTTTGCTTATCATAGGCTGCTATTCTGTAGAATTTATGAAGAATGTTGTTGCCCCGTAACGTGGGGTAAGAGAATTGCACTTTTCGTAAGGTAAAAGACAGATGTAAAGTTTCTAAATATTTTGTAAATATGAGGCTGCATAATGCAGGGTGGACAAATTTACGTCTCGCGGGAAGCTAGATTTTGCAAGGTTAACTCATTTATTTGAAGCAGTTTTCACCGGAAAGCACTTTCTGAACAAAGTGTTCATGATTAGCAGAATGGTACACGTGGCCAAAGAAGGGCTGACAAAAAGAAAAGTATTTATCTGACTATTAAAGCAAATTTATATTAAGTGGTAGGTCTGAAGATATTGGTAAGCAGCAATGAAACCGTTTGTGTTTTTTGTTTTTTTTCTTATGTCAATATATCTTTACCTAGTATCACTGAGGTGGAAGGCAAAGCTTAGTTACCGCAGCTTATAGATGAAATTGGGGATGAAACTGCTTCATGCAGGAAACTGTAATATCATTCGGGATCTTCACTGTGACTGCTCGAGGTATGAGGCTTGACTTCGCTGTTCTGTTTTCTGATTTGATTTCAGCAGAATCTCTTGGTAGCACTTGTTATTCCTAGCATGTGATGTTGGGAACTTTTGCACATTGTTGGTTTTATCTGAAAATGATTAGTCTTGCAAAGTCTAGACAAAGGTAAACAATTGGTGATATTTTTTTTTCAGATATTTTTAGACCCTGTAGTGATTTGGCACTTGATTTTGTTAATAAAGGGGGTATTTACAGGGTGGTATGAATTTGTAGTGAATTATTTTAGATCTTCTATTAGCAAACACTAAGTTTTAAAGTATTGCTTTTATATGATTATTAGCAAATAGAAGCCTCTGTACTTTCTGTGCATAAAGCCACCTTATTGCTTTACTTCAGGATAACATGCCAATTTTGTGTTCACTAACTGTAGCACAGCTATCACTTAAACACTGCAGAAAAGTATTCACTATACAACTAGAAAATAGGCTTCCAAAGATAGTTACAAGTGTGTTAACATTGTGATTTTATATATTTCCCAAATAAATGAAGTTACAGAATGCTGCCTAGTACTCAGATGCTGATATAAAATGTTTAGCAGGAAATTTTGTCACTTTGTGAATGTTGTATACTTTCAATAGCAATGTCTCATGGTGATCTTTTTCTGTGTTTTGCTTTGAAGGCAACCAGAGATTCCTAATATGCTAACAAAACTTTATTTTCAGATTGGACTTCTTGTTGTGTGGTTTGTTGTTTGTTTGGTTTGGTTTTTGGTTTGTGTGGGGTTTTTTTTGGTTTTTTTTTTTTTACATTAAGCTACTGCTTTAGGGGATATTAATAATTTGTATTTACTGAACTGCTCGCTTTAACTCCTTCCTCTCATTGAAGGTCAGGAAATCCAGATGAGAAGGGAAGCCACTTTCCCTCTCACTTAAGCAAGAGGAAGAAATAATTTTATCAGTCACTTGATATAGACTGACCAGATGTATACAGCTGTTCAGTCTAGTCGTAGCATGATTTTACACCAGAAACTGCAACTGCTAGATTCTGTTCTCTGATAATTGATAACATGTTGTTGAAAATCTCATTAACTCAGTTTAAGTCATGTATTGCTGCACTTAACTAAAGAGCAATTGAATAATTTAAAAAAAAATCACTTTAATTGAATGTAAATAGTTTTGCACCAGTGATACGGTTTAACTTTTGCCTTCAGCTCCTAAACTTAGCTGACATCAAGCTAATTCGTTTCTGTTTTAAGTCTTTTAGGCTTGAAAATAAGAAACATTGTAATTGTCCTAGGCTTCTTGACCTATGTAAAATGCCTAATTCCTGTGCATAGGTTTGGAGTTTGTCAAGTAAGTTACATGCAACTTCAGTTGGCTGCATGCAAATGGTCTGATCCCCAAGTGGACTCTGAGCATAAATCTGTTGAACTTCTGAGTCATAACTCAGGATTGCTCCTGAGTAGTATTTCACAGTGTAATTACCAGCCAGCTGCAGACTGGAGTTGTAAATTACATCATTACGATTGATTTTGTTTCTTTCCCTCCCCCCCCCCCCCCCCCCCCCCCCCCCCCCCCGGGTCATCTGTAATGCGTTGGGCAAGTGGCAGAATATTTCTTTGAGTGTGACAGGTACACTGAGTTGTACTTGGCTGTAGAGGAAACTCAGACAGCTGAAGCAGTTTTATGTCATGACAAGTTTTGGATAAAATACCAAGTGAAAAAAAAAAGAGATATGGAAAACTGCTTTTTGTTTTATGAGGCAGTGATTACGTACATACAAGAGATCTTGAAGTGGTCGGTGCTTCAAAAGATTTAAGTTGTAGCTCGGCGAGACTTAACAGCAGATGAGTGGATGTGCTGTCATTTTAATAGACGCTTTGAATAAAAAACTGGGTTTAATTTTCACGTTCGGTGTGTGCTGTTTGGTCATTTTTTAATACTCCTTGCTTCTGTGACCCCACCAGCCTGACTTGCTGGGGAGCATGAAGGTGTTCCACCTGTCGGCTGAAATCTGACACAAAGCTAACCACCCGAAGCAAATTTTTTAGGCTTTTTTTTTTTTTTTTTAAAACAGTTTGACGAGCTTGTGAGGGCTCCGGTGCCGGTCTCACCGCGGGGGCGGGAGCTCAGCGGCGCTGAACGCCTTTGCCCTGCGGCCGGTGCCGGCACAGGGCACGGGGCTGAGGCTGCCCAGCGGCCCCGGGGGCGCCGCACTTCACCCCCGCCTGCCTCCCTTTTCGGTGG